TTTTGTATTTACTTGCATTATCTTTGTGTAATATTAAAATTTGTTTGATGATCTGAATCTTTTAAGTGTGACAAATATGCAAAAAATTAAAAAAACAGGAAGGGGGCAAAAACCTTTTCACACCACTGTATATGCATGCCACTGAGTGGAAAATATAAACTGCTGCATCAGGGGACATGCATATATCCCCATATATGGAAAGAATGAAAACAGGACAGGATAGAACAAAACACCCCCTATAACACTAGTGGCATGTGACTGTGTGCCATAACGTATACCATATCACAACATACCATTACATCCACCATGACATTAATTACATTTCCTGATAAATGCCAAGTTCTGTCATGAAACTCTAGATAAGTGATGGGCAAACTTGGCCCTTCCAGGCCACTTTCCTGCAGAGATTTTATCCAACCCAGATAAAACTCACCTGCCTGTAGCCTTCTAGTAGTCTTGAAGACAATGATTAGCTGGTTCAGGTGTGTTTGATTAGGGTTGGAGCTAAACTCTGAAGGAAAGTGGCCTGGAAGGGCCAAGTTCACCCACCCCTGCTCTAGATGATGGAGGCTGATGGGTCCTTAACGTAAACGATATTCACTGCATTAAATGATTTGGCACAAGCTGATTGGTCCATGTTGTACACACAGCCAAAGAGCTTGCTGCTTTACATTTAAATGCCTTGTTAGCATTCACTTGAGCATTTTGCAGCTCACTTTCAGAGTTCCAACTTCCCAAGCTCCACCTATAGATCTGCGACGGATTACTTTATATGCTATATGTGCAGCAGCAGTATGTCTTAAATACTCACAGCACCATATGCGCGTATGCATTTGCAGTTCCTGTAAATAATCTACAACTACAGAAATATCCATTGCAGCAGCAATTCAGCAGCAGCGTAGAAGATCTATTACACCAAGACCAAATACATTACCATTGTCATGTCCATTACCATGTCAAAGTCTTCAGAGAGTTGTTTTTAAAATGTACAGAAAAACACAATTAAAAACCTGTGTTGCGAAAAACAAAGGTATGTGTATCATTGTTCATTTTTTAATCATGCAAGCCATTTAGCAAGGCAATGCTGGCAAATGCTATAGCTAGGGGCTACAGTTAAAATGTACGGTAACAATTTAGATGATGGAAAACTATTCTCCAGGGGCATAGTCTGTGGGGGGATGGGGGAAGGTACCCCCCCCCCCCCCCCCCCCTCTTATCTACATCCTTAATACAAAATAAAATGG